GTGCATGTGGCATCATTTTCTTTATACTGAGAGGTAGAATTCCTGACTCCAATGTGACTTATAAAAGAGGGGTTGGATACGGTACCCCAGAACAGCTGCACCTGAAGGGAAACGGTTCTGAAGGGTTACTGTGAGGCCCCACAGTGCATTGCATTCAGGCTGCTGCGCATGTTAGATATTTGAAGTCCTTTAAATGGCTGCTAGTAATAGTAATCATCCCTATAAAAGAGGAACTTCATCCAGAACCAACTGCACATGTGACTTCTGCACCTTTACTGTCGCCAATACTTAATAATTGAAATGAGAGCGCGTGTTAGAGCCTTCATGGTGTAAATACACTGTGTGTTTGCTTATGAGAATGGAGGTTGCCCTGGATATGCACTCTGCTCTGGATAATTTCCAAGTCCAATCTATAATGCACCTTTGCTCCTGGGAAATCTCACCTAAAGTTTGTGTTCGTGTGCTTTTGAACGTGCACATGAGTAACCTAACCATAAATGTTACCACCACTCCTAATTTGTACATTACAGCAGCTCTTGTAAAATGGTTCCAAACTACAAAACATCAAACCACTAATGACATCAACCTTGTCATCATGGACAGTGATAAACTGGTGAGGGCTGCCCCGGGGAGGAGGGAAGGAATCACTCAGTAGTCTACAAAGGGCCTGACTCCGTGAGTCCATGACTCATAAGTGCTCATGATACGAATGGGTGGTGCTGGAGGTGGAGGGGGGGACACCAGGTTAAAATCGGTGTTTGTTTCTCTGTTGCAAGGCAATCCAGTCTGAAATCTACTTGCCTTGTGTCATCACTAAGTGTCATAGACTGGGGATGCCCTGTGGAAAACATTTATAATCTTTGAGTGGAAGGAAAATGTCACAGTTAGGGCTATAAAATCATTTAGGAACACGCGGCTATCGGGTCACAGAGTTTCTATTGTCAACGCTACTATCTTTATATAGCTCTTTGGCACTTTAAAGTGTGAGATTTCTTGCTTTCATTGCATGATCAGAGTTCAAGCAAAGGTTGAGTTACGAATAGTTATGTTTTTGCTCTCAAAGCTGCCAGAGCTGGACAATGAACTGTTGTAGTTGGTTAAAGGGTTCCCACCATACACAGAACTGTTTCAACCATTATGGTTTTTGGTTATGTGGAAGAAAGACCCCCGTTTGGGAATTTACCTGGGCCTTCTTGCTGCAAGGCAACAATGCTACAATCTGCCACACTTCTAATAGCAATAAAATTCATCACAATGATCATTGTCCTTTTGGAATCCATAATTGCATCTATGCATCTAACAGGCGAGTAAAGACAGTATATGGGGGACTGCCAAGTGGTTAGAGCAGTATGCTTATACGCTTAGAAGGTTGCAAGTACCTGGTTGAATACCCACAGTTGGCACTCTGGCTCTCTGAGCAGGACCCTTAACCTCATCCTTCTCCCCCGGGCGCTGCACAGTGGCATTTCCCTGCTCCCCAGAGTTAATTTCTCCATTATGAGATCAATAAAGTTCTATTTCTTTATTATTTGTGCAATATCAATAATGACCAATTGAAGCACTCTTGACAGTTGGAATAGAAATGTTTGGTTTGAAAGCCTCCTCAAAATGATACCTACTGTTCTTTGGTCAAATAGCTCAGTTTTTTTTTTTTATTGCAGCGAAAAATTTGCTTCATAAGGCTTTTGATTTTTCCATGTGTAGTGGTAAATCACAGATACACCTAAAGGTGGGAATTTTGGTCAATTCTTCCATAGTCAGCACCGTTTCTGTGCTTAAAGATGTAAAACAACTTAATTTAGTACAGAAACAAAGGGGTTTCAAGCATCTTCCAGTTTGTATTTACATTATTATAGATAAAAGCCATGCTTTTTCAGTCTCGATGTTTAAGTTCAGCTTGGCTTGTGGCAAAGAGGGAAAAATTCGGGCAGTCGGGGTCATTTTTCATTGATCATTGCTCCCCCTTTAACTGTAGAGGTCAGTTTATTAATATGCAACATACTAAATAAGGATTTCAGAAAGTTTTCAATGCATGAAGTTAGAGCTGGGAAATGAAAGATGTTATCTTTCACTATTCTCAATCGTTCTTCATTTTTTCTCAATATAAAACTTACAGAAGAGTTTAGCCACCGTACAAATGACCAAAAAAAAAAAAAGCTCTTAAACAATTGTTTAATAATAAAAACTACATTTTAAAGTGACAAGAAATAAAGTAAGTCCTCCTCCAAGAATGGAAATAGATGATTCAAACTGACAGGTCATCCAGACTAAAAGGCTCACATCAGCTCTCCAGAGGCTATGTAACTCATATCTAACGCATTCTTCAAAAATGTTCCCCTGTTTACCGTTCTCTACGATCACTGGGAACTATGTGTTGCTCGGGGGCAAAACAGGAGTCATCACCTCACTCCCGACGTCTTCTCTGCAGAGTCTTTATGGCTCGATTTACTGTGCAACAGCATCTATAAAGTCATTTAATGGGGTTAATGTTGTTAGGTACACAGGCCTCAGTTGCCAGTAAACATGTTGCTTATTAGCTCATGCAAAAGAAAGCAAAAGAGGGCAAAAGATAATCCTTTTCTGTACTTTTTAGACATATTTTTCCTCTCTTTTGCTTAGGTTTGTTTATGTCCCTGTATCATTTTCTCCATCTTATAGCTGAAACACATCTATGGATCTCAAGTTAAAGAGTAAAACCTTTAGTGGAAAATTTGCATAACATCATGAAGCTGCCTATTACTATAGCAATTACATACTTCATGCATGCTTATCATACCGTTCAGGAAGAGATAAAGAACTAATAAGGAGAGATGTACATCAGGGAGGAGGGCTCAGTTGCAGTAAAGTGTTATAAATTATTTCAGCCAAGGAAATTTCACCGTAAAAATATTTGATTCTTTTTATGAGACCAAGCAAGCTTAGCCAGAATTCTAAAAGTGTTGGTTAATTACCGTAGCATCTGCTGAGGTGATTCTCTTTGCAGGCTTTCCAGACAAAACGCCCTCCAGGTTAAAAGGAGCAAGGTGTAGGCCAGACCACCTGGTCGGCTGACCTGTGGCTCCCTGCTGATCGTGCTGGCACCTCTGGCTGATAATGAGTCTGACGTTGTCTGTCTGTCTGTCTGTGTTTCTGCTACTGCATGTCTATCTCCTCCGTGACGACCCTCTGGCTTCTTTACCAGACCTCCCAGCACAGAATGAATTGCCCCATGACAAGTTAGGACCAGTTGTTTTTAAAACTCCATGTTAGGAAAGTGGCTGCATGTGTCCAAAAGTCATGAATAACTTACATCATCTTATGAAACTAAACACACACTTGCAAATCTTTCCTATTCAGCCACATTATAGTTGCATCAGGAGAAAGATAACATTGAACTTCCAGCAAATGGTTAGCATCTGCTGGAAAACCAACACAGAACCTGTAGTAGTAGTGTTTATTTACTCATCCTACACTAAAAACTGAGCATCCTAATTAAACCCATATGATACAATGGATTTTTCTGAATGATAGGGAAACAGACCTCACCATAAATATGCCCACAGTAGAAACGGTGGCAGCATCATGATGCAGGGATATTTATGCTCAGCGATGACGGCTGTAATTAGATCGATTTTTCAGGTTTTAATTTAAAAAGTTTCTATTTTTCAATGTGTGTCCCTTTCTTTTCCTACACAAATATGCTTTACCAAAAAATCTGTGGTGTTAATGCGACACAAGGGCATAGTTTTGATTTCAACTTTGGTAGGGACACTATTAGTCTGATGTAATTGGTCCTATGCAAAATTATGCATGCTCTGTTTTTTATGCTTGATGTGAAAATCAGGGTGTATTTTGTTTAAAAGGAAAAGCAGCATTTCTTGCTACATTTGTAAAAATTTTTATAAGCGCTACACACACTAGATGCTGTCTATCAATGTTTGAAGCATCATCGGCTCTGATGAATAAGGAATTATGACTTTTTTTCCACTTTGAAAAGGTTTGCATTTGAAATTACCAGCGACTAAGACAGAAAGTAAATCTGTGCCTTTTTATCAAAATATAGTCTAAACATGTCTCTTATATGTGGATTTATCCTGTTTTTTTTCATGATATACAATTGTGCAAAGGTAAAACCCACAACTATCTTTAAAATATTCTCTCTGTATCATGAAATAAAGCAAAATAATAGATTCGAAGGACACCAAATAAATTGTATAGTTATCTGTTCTCTATTTAACCCATATCATGTATTTTATCTTGGGCTGAAACAATTAATCGGAATAATCGATTATTGAAATGTCAACAAATTTAGTAATCGATTAATCATAAACTGGTATAGAGGCTCTAAAACATGTCTTTAGCTCACAGAGTGACCCACTTAAAGCAGGAATTATACCAATACCATTGTAAAAAATATATATAAACAAACATTTTTTCGTCTGTCAATATTCTCCATCCCCTCTACTGCTGCAACAAAGCTGTATTGTAAATTATAAACATGTTATTCACATCTAATTGTTGGTAGGGACAAGTAGGTCTTTCCAAAATTTTGGTAGGGACATGTTCCTATGGTCCCTATGCAAATCTAGCCCATGATGCGACATATTGTGAAAAAAAAAATGTTTAAGAAGTGAGGAATAAACAGAGGAGGATGCAAAAAATCCAGAGAACTCTGGCTATAATTAAAGAAGATTAACAGACCAGTAAATTGAATGATATGCAGCTATCGATCTGCCTAATTATAAGGGAGGAGATAAAGGTAATCTCCTTAAGAAGTGGATCCGTTTCTTTTGCGCCCTCCTGTAAACCAAACCGATTATGCATCATATCTGTGAATGGGCGGTGTTTTTCTGAGGACACACACACATACACACTCTCACCCAGGGTGAGGGGGGTAAGGAGGGGTGGGATGGGGACGGATCTTGGAGTCTTAAGTCAGCAGCCAGCCAACCAGCTCCCCTTGCTGAATAGATGCATGATCGGCCAAACGCGAGGGGAGGCGCAATGGGCACAGAGCTGCTGGCTCTCTATATTCAGCTGCTCAGAGGCGCTCTGACACCATTCACTCCAGAGTCCTCCACGTTCAAAGACCTGCGCTCAAACACGCTCTCAACAGCTCCACACGGACGCCTTACTTACTTACTCCATTGTGATTTCCTGGGGGGGCATCTTTTGGATTATTTTGACGCAAAACTTTCAAATCAGAGAAAATCCAACGCGCTTTAAATGGTCCCCTAGAGAACAGGAGCTGTTCTAATATGTTTGACTTTCCATTGCGTTGGGTCAAAGTGTGAATCTTTTTTTTTTTTTTTTGCAAAGGTGAAGGACAAGTGCAATGCGCGCCAGACTTGTTTATTGGATTTGCCTCCCGTGCGCGTAAAGGAAGGTTTATTCTGTGCTGGAGCGCAGGGTTTGTTGAAGAGGACGCAGCCGAATGTGAATAATAAGAAGACATCTCAGCCTAAAGGTTTCAAGCAAGTGAAAACGAGGCGTCTGGGCGAGCTGCTGTGACTCTACACCGCTTCCCTCCCTGAGGGGATGGTTGTGGATCCTCTGGAGCCAGGAGCGACTCGGGGGCTCCTAAGCGACAGCTCTTTTTTCGTGCTTGAGGAAGACTTTCCAATTAAAAGGAGATGAGAGCCACAATTTGTTGCTTCCTGCTGTGGACGACGTACCTATTGGCCACTGCTGAGGTAAAGTGACTGGTTTTGTTTCCAGATTTATCACATTTAGAGTGCAAAGGTCCTTTCTTCGAGTGCCACACACGCACTCAGACACAAAACACTGAAAGGTAATTTCAAGATGAAAAAAGAAAAAAGATTTTGATGTAACTATCTGAAAGTTTTACAAAAGTCTCATAAAAGATAAAAATAAGTACATTCAAAAGTTAAATTGAAAGCAGTTTGAGTCATCAGTGCCAGTCCTGCTTTTGTGCGCTTTGACGCGCAACGCTGTTATTTTTGTTCTTTATTTTTCTTCCAAATCTGTTTGTAGTCTGAGGGCAAATTTGGCAAAGGTTTTGGTTTGGCCAAGCGCGTCCATGGGAACCGTCCTGGATGATAAAAATAGTCACTGTTCCTGTGAGGGTTGCGCACGTCTGGCTCAGTCCGAGGTGCCTGGATGAAGCGCGACAAGTGCAAAGGGTGCGAGGTGCTGCTCCGCCAGCTTTCCGTCTGATTTTCCAGAAGCAAAGAGTGTATTTGTCTAATTTGTCAGAGATCTAAAGCTTCTGATTACTCTACTAAATTATAACAGGCCTCCCCGACACCTTGCTGGAACATTGGACATTCCTTCAACTTTTAAACCTATATTTATCTAATGAAACAAGCATCCAAACTATTTACAATCAGCTGAGAGTTTCAAGCAAGGACCCGATGTGTGTCTAACCTTCCTTTCTTTGATTCTTTGTCACCCTCCTCCTGCTCCAGAAGGAAGCAGAGTTTCCCCAGGAGCTGATCGATCGGCTCTCCAACAGTGAAATCCACAGCATCAGCGACCTCCAGCGGCTACTGGAGATTGACTCCGTAGGTAAATTCTGCCTCTTGATACTTTTCTAAGCTCCACTTTTCTATAATAGTCCCATTCCATTAGTATTCATCATCTATAAACATGAGAAGTAAAGTTTTTATGCCATGCATTCATGATCAACCTAAATGCAAATGCAGGAAAGAATGGTGCAAGAAAGTTGCATATACTGCATATGTGTGATGAAGGGTGACTAATGAACGTGCATCCAGACGGCCACATGTTTTAGTGCCATAAATCCAGTGGATAGTTGCAGCAGGTTGCATGTTAAGCTGGTTTCTTCTCTCTGTGACCCAGACTGTCTTACTGATTAAATTACATTTGTGCTGCGGAAGAATTTGTTTGCCTTCACATGAGCCACTATTTACACAGGCTGCTGTCATATATCAAGCTCAGGGCTCCAACTTTGCAGATTTCTGCTGATTTTTTCCCTAAATTTTATATTCATGAAAACAAGGACCTTAGCTGACATTTTAGTTTAGCACTTTGTATTTGAGACTTGGAGATACATATTTCTAGGTTATGTCTGCAAATTATTTGCACTTAAAAATGCCAAAATTACTCAGATTAATAGTTTAAGCTCAATTAAGTTGCATGCAGAGCATTTATTTAAAAATCAGCTGTGGATTTTGACTCTTTTTTTGTTGTTGCTTAGAATGAAATTATTTTTTGCAAATCTTGCTTTACATCTAAGGTTGTTGTTCAGCTTGTTCAGCATTTTCATCGATTCTCACCATTCCCCCACAGCATGATGCTGCCACCACCATGACTCATTATTGTGTGGTGTCTTGCTGCTTCAGTTTTCAGTTGCATTTATGCCATATATTCTTTTTAATTGACATGATAAACAGGACAGTCGTACATTAAATATTCAAAACTGAGATTTTTTTCCCACCCCAAATTTAAATACAACTTCCTGATTTACTCCACAATTTCCTCCCTGAGTTTTATGCTCTCTTGGTTCTTACAATGCTATTTGTTAACTCATGTTCTTCCAACACACCTCTGAGGATTTAAAACAACAGCTGCATTTATACCCATTGCATCTTAATGAAATACACTGTTTGGAGCTGCCACCTAGCCAAGTTTGGACAAGTTCGATGCTTTTTACAACTCTTTAGAGCTTTTATAAATGGAAGAATCTCAGACTTGAAAGCAATCAATTCTTTTCCACAACAGCCATTACGCCACTTTACTCTGAGCCCAGTATAGATTGCTATGATGCCCTGTGGGTGTAAAAATGTGTTTATTCTTAATGTCTTTCTTCATTCAGATAAATACTTTGCAGAGTAATAGTAGTAGGCTAATGATTTTTATACAAGGGCATAAATCTGTCTTGAGGGTCAGCTGGTCAGCCCTGGCCAGGCCATTAAAAGACTCTAGACGCCAGGAGGGTATTTTTGGACCTTTTTTTTGCAGAATCCCAGCACAGAGAGGCAATCAATGTAAACAAAGTTAGGATGGGGCGATTTTAACAAGCAGGTGATTTTGTTTATAATTATGTGTAGCATTTGATTGTCAGTATCTGTATCTTCTGTCCCTGGAAAGGCAGAGGTTTCAAAGTGGCAGTATCAATAGGACGCCCTGAGATGGTTTACTGTACTCCTGTGCTCAGTGCAGGCTTGCATTTGTTTTTGCAAATTCCCAGTCTTGAGCTCTGACTGTCAGATGAGATGACCCTGTTGAAGTCTGCAGATAGCGGTCTGGCCCCTAAGGTGCTGCTCTCCTCGTTATACTCCTCCTTCTGTCTCTCTCTTGAGGTGGCCCCTCGCCTGCCTGCTCTTATCTCTATGAGAGAGGAACTTTGACAGAAAAGGGAACCTGACTCTCGGCAAGGGGCAGAGGTGGAGGAGGGAGTTGGAGGCATCTTGAGACACCAGCTTCAATCACATAGACCGCAGGTTGTTGTGCAATCTGCTTTGTCTTCTGTCTCCTGCACAGCTAGCAGAGATAACTCTGAGACTAAGTAAGATAACTTGTTTCCCACCTGCTATTACACAAAACCATAGAAATTCCCTTCCGCCTATAAGACCTTAGCCAGCATTTTGTCAATTCAGCCATATAACTGTTAGAAAAAGAAATACACAAGGAAATATTACAGAAGAAGAGAGAGTCACTTACTCTTAAGAAGCCACCAAACTGGTGATTTGCTCAAGGAGATGAAGAGAAAGGGAGAAGGGAAGGAATAAAATGAGGGAGTGAAGGCTCTTAGCTAATTTGCCGGTCTTGAAAGACTGATTCATGGTAAGAGACTGTCTCCTGTCCTCTGTTCTCTTGTCTAGAGGCTCTGGGTGTGTGCATACCTATTAGTCACATGGAACCAAGAGAGGAGCAAGCCCCCTCGCTCCTCATCTGTAGTCTTTCCACCTCATGCTCTTTCCCATTTCTTAAGAGGTCTCTTTGTCAAATCCTAGACAAATTTCCCTTGCATAAAACTTTCCGTATATGTTTTATTTTTCTCCGGGATTTTACTTTAACCTGACAGTAAGAGTTTAAAAGATTTGTAGATTGGGATGTTATGTACAGTATGTGCATGTGTAATGGTCCGAAAGAATGATAGCTCAGCCCTCTGTTTGACTCCCAGATTTCTGCTGTAGGCAACGCTTCCCTTCAGTGAACCTTTGGTTCTGGGTCACAAACTGGTTGACTGAGTCTCTGACAAGCTGGAAAGAAATTCGCTGAACTCTTTGTGACAGACAGACCTGGAAAAAGAAATCAGAAGTCAAATAAACAACCGATCCTAGTGGTGGAAGGCGTATGGTTTGAGGAAATCCCTTCTAATGACTCTGGTCAAATGCACAAAAAAAGCTGGATGAGATGACTGTGTTTGCCTATGGTTAAGCTCTGTTGATACATGTGTGCTTAAGGCTTTTCCATGTTGTTTAGGATAACGAGAAGAGTTTCTCCAATTGTTAGCGTGTCTTTTTGTTTAGTGTACGTGTGCAGAATTGTTCTCGACAGGTATGCTATAACCAGAAAGTGGCAGACCCACCCAGTTTGCAAACATAGTCAGACATTCTCAGGATCCTACGGAGAAGCTTTATCATTTTATTGCTGGTCTGGCACTTTTGCTTAATCCACCTTGAAAGTCTGGGCGGAGACCAAAACAAGCAAGTCTTATCAGATGACCGTGAATATGAATAAAAATGAACAGGCTGTGTTAGCAAAACACGTACTTCAACGAAAAACCACAGAGTGATTGAAAAGCAAACATTTTCAGTAAATGAGGGACACAGAACCACTAATTTGGCCTGAAATAAAGGTGACCGGGCCCTACCTGTCAAATGACCACTTTAAGCCTCTGCGTGTCTGTGAAAGCTGGTTGTTTGTTAAAGTTCATGCTGACTCACCTTCGTCTTGCTACTGCTAAAGTAAATTTAGCCCAGTCACTGAGGGAGGCTGACACGTAATCCCAGCAATTAACCAGAGCGCTGTGTAGAGCCGTACCTCCTACCTGCAGCCAATGTACTCTGAACTGTTTGTAACCTTATAGGAGTTGCCATGCTTGCACATTGAAGGGAAGTGTAAACCCTATAATTGATACTTCATGTCATTATGGGTGTGTGACCAACCAATGCTTTGTTGTTATCGTTGTAGCTGAAAATTCCTATTTCACCCTAAAAAACATTTAACTTATTAATTTATAAAGAAACATCAGCAGTTTTCACAAGGTTGCAAGCTAATTGTGCGAGCAGTCGCCCTTTACTAATCTGTTAAAAGCTCCTTGACTGTGCTGTTATTAAAGGATCAAACTGCATTGTGCGATTGGATCTCAGTGTTACTATATAACCCGGCTGGACTAGAATAAGCTGGATTATTTGAGCTGAACCAAAAACAAGCTTGATTATCTATAGTAGCATACAGATTGAACCTCTTTGTCTTTAGTAGGGGTTTCCTGATCTGATATTGATTCTGGAAAATTGGTCGGATAACAGCCAGAATTTTCTTTAAAGTTTTTGTATCCCATTGGTTAATAATACACGGGTCAGCTGTTCTCATACCTATTGTTGTTGACTTTTGTTCTCAGCTTGAGTAATATCACTTAATCAGGCTTGTTTTTTTAAAATTCCACATACAACAAAATAAGTAATAAAGGTATGTTTGACACATGCTGATAAATTGTTGAGTCAATATTGGTACCAGTCATTAATCAGGGCTGCAATATCGGTTTTCGTATTGGAAATGTTTGCTTTATAAACTGACCTGAATAAAATTGAGCAGAATTGCAGTTTAAATCTAAGTCCACCAAGTTATTCAACATGGCTTGCATGCTTTTAGTTTGTTCTTTTATTAAATGTCTTTGTGACATTATTAACATGGTGTCCCTCTGTTCTGACGAGGTACGGGAAACGATGTTATCGAGGAGCACAAGCATCACAAGCACCACAATCATCATAAGAACTCCTCCAATCATCATGGTTACTACAATGAACTGAAGAGCTCGCAGCTACACAGCCGACGCAAGAGGAGTCTTGGTAAGACCTTCGGAGCCCAGAGGAGGCATTATTGTGTCACGCATGAGAAACTGGTACACGCAGTGTGAGCAGGGCAAGAAAATAATCTAAAATTTCACTTTGGTTCCCAGGAGATGAAACACTTCACTTTACACTCATTTCCAACAAAGCTAACAGTTAGTGGTTTTTATACTGCTTTTAAAGAGAGATAAAAGGCACCCTAATGAAGACATCTACCCAGTATTTATTTGCAATCAAGGAATCATGAGAAAGGGAGGCTAGTGCGCGGGGTTGAGGAGGACGTCTGACACCAAGCCTTCTAATTGGCCTGAGGCTCTAAGATCTAAAGACACACACGTCAGGCAGAGATATATCCTCGAGCGTGGAAATTCCAGACATTCAGGGTTCAAGTTGCAGCTTGCTTCTGCTCCCAGTCAGATTTCTTCATAAAACGCCACGCGGTACGATATCTGATCGAGGCGTGGAGAATACCATGCAGAGTGTAGAGTGCATGCTCTCACAGTAGTGCAGAAACTGAAGTGATTGAAGCTGCTGGTCGTGTTTCATTTATTTGTGCTGCACCATAAGATATAGCATTTTGGGAGTGCTCAACAGAAGCCCTTACATTCAATGCACGATTGGCATTTCACCTTTACAAGATGATTATTTTACTGCAAACAGTTTTATGCCTCTTAACTCACTGATAAAACAACTATAAAACAAAATTGGTGTGACATTTTGTAAACATTTAATTTCAACATATTTAGCCAATATTTTTAGAAAGAAATTGTGTATGCTTTTCTGAAACTAATGAGTATCTTTTAAAGTTAGAAAGAGAAATGTGTTAAATTCAAACCAGTCTTTTAAAATGTACTCATTTAAGTATAGGGCCAAACTCTAAACCCAATTATTAAGATAATTGAGCTTTTTCCACATGTTAAAACAAAAAGAATAAACCCGTGACTGAGAAATAAACATCTGCGAATAATAAATAAAAAGATGATCTAAACCTTAAGCCTTTCTCCTGAGAACTACAGCTTAGGTTTACTGTTAGTTAACAGACTAGGGTTAAGAACACAAGCCTACTAGCAAATTTGAGATTAACATTAATGTTGTTGATAAATTGGCTAGAGCAGAATACAGTCTTCTCAGTCTAACAGAGAAACTTGTCACACTTAGCATTCTGCCAGCCCTTATAAACAACCCAAAAACCACCTTACTGTTGTCTGTTGGACAGTATAATTGATAAATAGGCAAAGCTAATTGTTTGATCTAACCGATAGTTAAGTTAATTCTTATCAAAATGTTAAAGCAAAATTTTAAGTGAATAAAAAATGTTAGAATTTACCATAGAAATACCTTACTGCATGTAAAAAATATGACTTATTTATAAATCCCACCAGAATTTATTTGTTATAATGCTGTTAAATCCAATACACGTGGTTAATAAATATCCCACCTGTGTAAATAAAGGTTGCCTTTGCTCGTCATGCTACGTTAACTGTACTGAGGGTCCTTAACAATGCAGCTGTCTTCTTAAGTCCCACATGCACCTTAGACTTTTAGCTGATATGAGATCAGTTTTAAAGAAAGCTTGTGTTCTTAACACTCATAAAAGATGTTAGGTATGATTTGAGGCAAGACAAACTGCTCTCACATCAAGTGAGTCATGAAGAATCCAAGCAGCTATGTGTTTGAAGATCTGATTCCGTCAAAACAGAAGCACTTTTTTTTAGGAAATGCGTCACCAGATGTAACAAGTATGAAAAAAGCATTAAGCTGACCCTGTCTCACTTCCAGTTGAAGAAGCCGTCCCTGCGGCGTGCAAGACGAGGACAGTGATCTACGAGATCCCCCGCAGCCAGGTGGATTCCACGTCTGCCAACTTCCTGATATGGCCACCCTGTGTGGAGGTGAAGCGCTGCACAGGCTGCTGCAACACCAGCAACATGCGCTGTCACCCGTCCCGCAAGCACCACCGCACAGTTAAGGTAAGACAGGAAGTGTAAGCATACCAAATATATCCATACATTTATCCATTGATTGTTTTACTCATTTGTATCAAACTGTAGTCTTTAAGCGCCAACACCCTGCATGGCCTAGACGTGTCCTTGCTTTTTACAGCTCAGTTAGTTGACTACATAAGTTAATCAGCATGCCACCAAACAGGACACTACTAATGGCCTATTCACTAAATCAAAGATCTAAGATATGTAAGAGTCCTGTGCTTAAGGACTGACTGTGTTGACCAATGGTTTTACTTGCAGTCTGCTGTATTTTGAGGTCCTATGTCTAAAGCCTGAACATTGTGTGGAACTCTGCCATTAAAGCCTTGTAAAGTTTTATATATCTACTATAAAAGTTGAAAAAAAAGGCGTAAGACGTCTGGAATGTTGGCATGAGAAATGTGGATGAACCCTGAACTCCCATGTCAATCACCCTAATTTTACTATTTCCCACATAGTGGCCATCTGACCTACCCTTACACCCTATCCTGTTCAACCCCCATCCTATGATCCTTTGCTTGGCATAAGGGATGGTGCAAATAAGGCTGTTGGCTGGGATATTTGTTGAAGGAATTACCCAGAGAGGGAAGCTCCTGCCAAGATCAATGCATAAAAAACAATGCCTGAGATTGTCCAAGCGTCACATTCTGCAGGACTGCTTCTTCATCTTAGTGTTGTTTATCCTTTTGTCTTCTCTGGAAGCAGTGTGCCCACTGGAGACGAAATGACAGTAAGAATGAGAGGCATGGCTTGCTTGAAAGCATGTCCCTCTGTTCAGGATCAGAGAAGACATGGTGGCAGGAGATGAGATGAATTTCTGGTTATATTTACAGTAGAGCTATTTAGTTGGTGATCTGCTCTGTTTGGAGGTATGGGGACTATGTGGTTTGCCCCCGTGGAAGCTAGAGACAACCAAGGTATAAACAGCATAGCCAAGAATACTCTGGCTGTGTTTGTCTATATCTGCACTTAATTATTGCTGCAGCAGCTTGATCTTGCCCAGGCACTGGCACTGCCAGAGCTGTTTTTCTTTTGCCTTTCATGCAAGGCTTTAAAGATTTCCGCCTGATAGACTAGCAGAGTCATAAAACAAATACCAATCTTGGCTATGGAGTTTTTATTCATGCAATTTTACTGGGATTTTGTGGAATGGGCTGACACAAAGGTGCACTGAGGATGCATGAGTTTCAACAGCTTTAGCAAATAACAATGTAAGGTTATGAATCAGTCCCTTATGCTTTGAACAGGAGGATGAATATTATTAAGACATGATATCAGAGAAGCAGCAAATAGTCCTAATTGTTATTCTAAATAAACTGCAGAGATCCGTAGCTCTGGTGGAAGAATTTGTCTAATGGAAACACAGTCTACAGTACAAATCTGGCCTTAATTAAATAAAGCCAGGAAAAGGTTGGAGTTAAAATCTATTAAAAGAAACAGCCAAATTGTGGAAGATGGGGGCTCTTTTCTGCTATCAAAAAAATAAAAAAATTCCCCTTTTAGCCCAAATTCAAAAAGCTAATTATAGCTTAATTGGATTGACAAGTTATCTGAAATATGCCACCCCCATTTTAAGACATGATGGTCGGGGTGTGATGTTGTGGGGATGCTTCATCTGTCTGCATGGAAGCAGCTCAACCAAACTTTGACTGCCATCCTCAATAGAATCTCTGTCTGTGATCAGAGGGATTGAAAGGCACAACCACATTGCAAGATGCTTGTTTCAGCTATTCCCAAAATGCTATATGCAGCTTTGTTTGTGTCCCCCTCATGACACCGGCGATAGAATAGGCATACAGACAGACAGATTTTCTGAAGGTTGCTGTGAGGGTGAGAGGCGTTGCGTCTGAAAAGAGGGCATCCCTCAGGGCTTTCTCTGGACAAGAGACATTCCCCACATTGTCTGTAAGGAGCATTATCTCATTCCAAAATTAGAGTTTGAACAGTAGTTCAGATTGTTCCTCTCACTTTAGTAAGTAAAAAGCTAAAAATGATCTGTCTTCCAGAGGTCTGGATTGTTTTTCTTCTGTAATCCAAGGATCAGTACAAAGGGCTTCTACTGTTCTCTTCCCACCTCAAACTACTCTAGATTCATCTAAATCTGTACCTCTCCTCATATTTAATCCATCATTTTTAGGCTGGGGATTCGAGAGAAGCAGTAGAGGTCTGCTCAGGACTTCTTTTAAGGCATTTCTTGTTCATTAGTTTAGCAGTTAATTTACAAAGATCTAACCAGAGGAACACTCAATTGCAATGTCACCTTCTGTTTTTCTTTAGTATGTCCTCTTTGCTCCACTCTCATTCTTTTTCAACTTTTTTTTTTAATTTCCATCTCAGACTTGTATGGTTTAAAGTACTAGACCAAAGGTCTTGTACATGCCTTTCCATCAGAGACAAAATATAAACCAGCAGGAATTGGCAACCTGCATGCTATTGAGCAGAAAATACAATATTGTGATTATGATTCACAGTTCATAGCAAAAATGTTTATAGTTTTGAAACTCTTCCCCTTTTTCAAACCATGCTAATCCTTTATAATGGTAACCGACCAATGCCTAACTGTCAGAAATGAAAGTGGAAATGACTGTTTCCATCCCATCTATCATAAAAGTCCAATGGTGAATGACTTGCGGGAAAATAATCCTTTCTGCACTTTGTTTAAGGCTTCTTTGAATTGGCATAGCTTCCTCAGTTTCTTTATCTTGAAATTGAGAGTCTGTTTATTTAGAAGACAATGAAAGTAGAAAACTGACTTAAGTTTTCTACAGCTTTTTTTGGCACAGAGTAACACAGAACTTCCTCTCCCTCACCTGTTACTGTGCACTGCCAGTCAGCTTGCCTGATAAGGCATCCCCTTACTTACTAAAAATAAAATTCAGACAATTAAGAGGCTGTCATGGTAACATTACTCTAACCATAATAATTAAAACAACTCGTTTGTCTCTTTTTGGAACAAAAGCAGTTCTATTATCTTAATGTATTGAGATTTATTACTTACAGTATCTCCATAAAAGCCCCATAGAGAAACAAGTGCAATGCACACACCCGAATCAAATAAAGTGGCTCTCTGAGAGAAAAATGATTAGAAAATAGTAATCAGATTGAAAGACAAATGTATATAAACTTACATGCATAAATGTTTTGAGGCCAACTTGAAAAAATACAAGGAAAACATGAGAGTCAACCTCTTAAATTAACCCCATGATGTTTCTTAATCTCATCTAAGTGGTATATTGCTGTAACAATTTAGTTCAATCTAATATCTTTTAATAGCTGGAAACCTGTAATTGACTTTCACCCAAGTATTTTTCAGAGAGGGTTTTTCAGGGCTCATCTTTATAGAACAGGAGTGTGGATGAGAGAGAGTAAATCCTTAATGCAATGCAAACCCAGATGAGGCTCTTTGTGTGAAGCTGCAGCAAGAGGAAGACAGACCGCAGAGTAATGAAGTGTTGATGGCGATTGGATCAAAGTGGAGGACAATTGAGGCCAGGCGGAAATGGCCCCAGCGCTGAGTGTGGGGGTCCCACATATCTCTCAGCGCCAGCCTCCGGGTCCCTGACCCCTGCTTGCAAACACACTTACACATGGTTACCTCAGCCGATGGCGGGTCATGGTGGGGCGTTGGGGGGTAGCAGTAGCGGTGCCCCTGCGGTTGTGTGGGACTCTGACTTACGGGGTGTTTCATAAATAAAAAGTGTGGCGTTGATACAGTGAGAATGATTGATGATCATGTGAGGGACAGGGTAGGGGGGTTCGGTGGGAGTAAGGGGCCTCTGTGTTTGAAGTGCCTCGCAGCTGTGAATTATTTACCCTTTGATTCAGTCAACTCTCCTGTTGGATGAAGCCGGGTGAGGGAGTTTGTGTGAACATGGTGGGGCAGGTCGCAGACCATGGGAGTGTCTGAGATGTTGGCTACTGCTACAGCGGCTGGAATGCTTCAGCAGAAAGGGCAGCAGTCTTTTTAAAATAATATTTGACTCAATATTCTGTATTTTTACTTCACTCTTCCCCTGCTGTCCTCCCTGCCTGTTCCTCATCCTTCAGCCCGTCCACATCTCCTCTCTGCACGCTTCAATGTTGGAGTCTGATTGTCTGTTGTGTGAAATAACTGTTCACTCCCTCTGTCTCCCCTGAAACAGCAACTCTCTAATTTTACCCCAGATGTCATGTCTCTGCATCATCTGTGCTCTCTCTCATTATAATCTGTTCACTTTTCATCCATTGGGTGCTCAGTAATGTCACTTTCTAAAATTATGGTTTCTGCCGATGGAATTGGAGTTGGGAATAAACAGAAAGACGTGGGTTAATTCTCTCTTAAGTACTGCAATCAGGTGTGGAATGGGATGAAATTCTCACAGTATCTCAGTAAAAAAAAAAAATGCAATACAAAAATGTAAAATGAGATGTATCGACTCTCTTTAAAGGCAATGTTTATTTTAGTGGCTGTGTTTAAAATATTGTCGTACTTGATTGTACTGGTATTAATAGTATAAACTAAAGAGTGAGAAAATGTCCGTAAAGCTGCTTTTACCATTTTTCAAGATTAAAAAGAGCAAATTTGGTGATACACATGCACAAATAAAGATATACTGCAAATGGTGTTTCCAGGGAAGTGATAGCATAATTCTTATGTAAAACTGCATCTGCACAGTTGGACTTGGTATGGTGTTTTTTTCATATTTTTAAAAGTTTAAACAAAAGTTTGCAATTAAATCCCCTTCAGTCATTAAGTTATCCATCCACATGCTTGTTAAAAAGGTGTGTGTTTAGATTAAGCTCTTCTGCTCTTCCTGTTTGACAAATGGTGTGCCGAAGGGTGCAGAAATAACGATGTGTGAGGCTCTGAAGTCATAAAAAAATCCTTCCCACAGTGAGAGGCTGTACGTTTAAACATAAATTGTCCATTACTTTTAAGAGCTATATTTGATGCTTACCCTACTGCAATACTCTGAAAAAATAAATAAAAAGAAAATTTTAAACGCAAATTAGTCAGCCGTGTTAATGTTTTTTTCTTTTCCTTTTTATTATTTCATGGCACAAACAGCTATAGTAACAGATGGAGATGTACAAAGCCTTTCCTCTCTCTTCTTTTTTTCTGGGCAGTAAACACAGAGTGTCTCTGTTGCCTGTTTTCCCTCCTGATGGATGAATTGTGACCCTGCCCAGCCTCTTTCCACCCCTCTCCATTCTGCAAACATACACATGAACTTTTTTATTTATTTTTGCTTCAATCTGTCACTGTTCCAGTTTGCCATGGCCCGCGGTGCACATCCACATCCCTGCTGTGTTTTGCTTGGAAGTCTGGAGCAAAACTTTCCCCTTCCTTCATCATGCTCTCATCGTCAGTGTTCTGTGCTCAGGGAATTCCCAATTAGCCCCGACCTGGACAAACGGCTTCACACAGAAAGGCTGCTGGTGACACTGGGGACAAGCCAAAAGCAAAAGGGGGTGTGCTTCCCAGAGCCTCATGCCTCACCCCAAACCCTCTGGATTGGATATCCGTTGCCACTCAGGGGATTCTTTCTCAGGGCCATTGACTTCCAGGGAATTTCAAGCGGTTTGATTTATACAAAGAGAGCATGGGGCCCAGTGTTGTAGTATGGGAGAGAGGCTCTTTCTGATCTATGTTTCAAGTAGGAAGTCACTGGCTGTGCAACAAAGTGCAAGAATGTATAGATGGGAAGATTAAGGAAACAAACATTAAGGCGTCTAGATGTGGTGAGCACAGCTTACTGATGTTTGTGCTGAGTATCAGAATGGGGAAACAAAGCAATCTAAATGAGTAGAACACGGCAGCTATTTTGATAAAAAGGCCTCATTGAGCTTTGACCAGAAAGTGCCGACTGGTTTAATAACAGGATATCAGGCACAGCTTAAAAAAACAACTAGTTAAAACCAAGGCATGTTGTCTACCATGTTTGAATGTGAAATACCTAAAGCATTGAAGTTGATGGGCTATGGCCTTGGAAGTCCAAAACTAAAACAGAGAATATAATCCACCCAGACTCGAGAAAATCAGACAAATACTGTAAAGACTGAAGTGTCCCCATTTTAACTGCAACATTCAGATTATAGGATGAGCATTTGATATAATCAACATGAAAATATAGATCTCTCCTTCTTTGTCACAGTGATCCCGGCTTGCATTGGTGATGGTCTGCAGAAATTTGCTGCCAGATTTGGGGCCTCTTAGTGGTTGGCATTATTTAAGGGCTGCAGCCTGCTTCTTTGTTGGTACTAATTGTGTCCAACCCTTAACCGCCACGGGGAATCAGGTCTTCTAATGGCTACACTAACCAATAGAGTAGCATGTTAATTAGGTTAAACTGAAGTTTTTCATACAGCCAACAAATCTTCACACAGGAATATAAGAGCCAAATGCTGTTTTGAAAGCTTCTGACACTTTTTTGAATTTAGGCAATGAATTATTACTGCAGTCCTCAGGAAAACGCATATGTCCAGTTTGGTGTTAGGGGGGTGTTCCTATTATAGTTGCCGCAATAACACTATTAGAGATTTATAGACGTGTTTGCTTGCTTGATATGTGAGCGTTTTTAGTCCTGCTGTGTGCAAACTAAGAAGACAAATGTACTGCTGGGTCTTATATCCCATTGCTTCATCCTTCTGACATTAGCTGTTTGTTTTGCCCGACAGAGTTTGTGTGTGTTTTAGTCCTTAGAATCAGTGTCAGCAGTTAATGTTGGACTGGACTTTCTCTTTTTTGCTCCCTGCTAGTAACTTCTGGAAGCCCCTCAGTACAGACATTCCCATACCTGCCATCAGCAGACAAGCTGTCAGTAACGACAGCTCCATCTTTCATCTCTGTCTCCTTTCATCAGTACTTTCCAGTCAGATAATCGGATTAAGCACTGGCGGCAGATTTCTTTTAAAACCTGTCCTATTTTGGGATGTTTTGTACACTTTTGGCTGATAAATGCAACAACACTGTGATAAATTCTCTATCTGTTGTTTGAGTTTTGGTTTAATAAATTTCCCAAATGGGTTACCCAGAGACTAAGTGTTAATAGGTAACACATGAATGCCTTCTAATGCAAGTCATGATCATGGCTCGGTGCTCCTCCCCCTTCTTAAATAACCATCTCTATTTGTACACACACACATACACACCCCTGTGAGAGCTAATGAGAATGGTGGTTAACCTTCCTACTCCTAGTTTCTTCCTTATTCTGGCCTTTCACCCGCTCCTCTTCTCTTTCATGGCTGGGTAACAGCAAACACACCACCAATAACCCAGACACTATTGTCCTCTGTTTGCCCTCCGCATACCTCTCTCTCCTGCTTATCCTCTTTTCACTCCCTTTCTTTTCTACTTTTTTTCACACTGTTAGAAATTGTTGCAAAGGAGTGGCTGCTAAAAACTGCTTGCCCTTTGCGTCTTTACTGCCTCAGTTCCAGTCGCACCGTGCCCCCCCGCCCTGCAGCCACTTTTACATCAACAACAAAACGCAGCCCTCTCTCTCTCTCTCCTTTAATTTCAACATTATTGTTTGTTTTATCAGACAGGGATTGGTATGTTGATTTGTCTGCATGACTGACTCACCACCAAGAGCCAGGCTTGGCGGTGCGCCATTACAGAATAGAGGAAAACAAACTATCATTGGTTATATGCATGCAGAAGCTTCATGCCAACTATGGCACTGTGTTGCTCATACCAGAGTGTGCACCAAGATTTTCAGCTAATATCCTTTCTTGTGCTACAAATGGAATAGGTGAAGCTGAGGAAATTGTTTCAGTGTGACTCTAGGGCCTTCAGGGAGGATTTGAGATGTTACCTTTCTTGGCATTTAGATCAGAGGGGCAAAAGCATGTGCCCACCTTTCCTGAGTTGCACAACAATATAACCTCCATGCAACCTTTTCTATTTAACTTTCATCTGTGCTTTAATCAGTAGTGTATTGTTGATGAGAGCTCAGGGCATTCATATCCCTTGGACTGATGGTTGTAAAAAGCTGATTAAGGGGAAGCTGTGAGGGTGTTGCTTGGAATGACAGGAATTCTTGTTTTGCTTTTCCCACAAACATTCATGCATTTTATTTGGATTTTATATGACAGGCCAACAGGTGGTTTATTATTGTGAAGTACAAGGGAATTAATAATAACTTGTAATTTGCGGTGAACATTCAGGTTCATTTCATCAAGTTAAAATGGTGAAGAACCAGCTTTTGTTTTAATATAGCTACAAATCTTTTTGAATTGTTTCTTTACCATTTTGCACATTTTTGTTGGCAAAGCAGCTAATGTTGAGCTAAGTAAAGAGAACAACAGCAAATCAAAGTTTCCATGTCTTGCATTACATATAAGGAGATTTAGGTCTGGGCTTTGACTGGGCCACTCTAACACATTAATATACTTTGATCTAAGCTATTCCGTAGTAGTTTAGGATGTATTCCTGGGGTTGTTTTCCTGCTAATTCATAAACGTCTCGCGTTGTCTCAAATCATTTTCACCCTCTAACACACAAGTCCTGATCTAACAGTTCTTGTCAATTGGTAGTTCACGAGAAAATAAAAATTCTGTACAGTCGATGATTAATTACACTGTAAGAGATGCTTCATAGTGCAAATGATTGGGTATCCATTTACCTCTGTTGATGTGTTTGACTTAAAGGAATATCAGCAATCTCAAATGTAGCTTCTAAATTAAACCGCTGGCAGGGGATGAAGTAATGCCTTCTGATTACATGATGCAGCCACCACCGTGTCTTACCATGGAGAAGATGGCAGGTTTAATATTTTATGTGCAAACCAAAGAATACAATTTTGATCTCACTTAAAAGAGTACCTTCTTTTTTTATGTTAATATCTGTGTCACTTGTGGTAAAATGCAAACAGGGCTTCTTCTGGCTTTCTTTCAATTCAAGACTGGTTTTTGAGGTTGCAATGTGACAAAATGTATAAATGTGCAAGCAGTGTGAATATTTTGCAAGGTGCTGAATATTTCTTATATGCAAGCAAAGCAGAGCTTTCCATAATCTATGTGGAAACATGGTTTAGAATCAACATGTTGAGGCAAGGTGAATGAGTTTAGGTGTATGTTTGGATGTAGATGCTTTGGGCCTGAGCTTAGGGGATCTCCCAGCTTCTTTTCTTTTGCCAGAATAAACGTTCCCAGGGCCTAAGGGTGCAGAATACTCTATCCCACCCTTCATCTCTCCTCTTTCAACTCATAGGAGGGTCATACACTTCATTCAGATGCTTACAGACCATAGAGCACACAACAAGTGAAACCTAATGAATCAGCATGTAAGGAATGGTCCCGTCACACTTCAAACACAACAAGCAAGCCTTGGCTGCGTTTTTTATGAATTAGTTTATGCATATGCCATCAGTCATGGAGCTCTGTCTCTTGATGTTCTCTGGTGGGCAAATAGAACGTGCATTCATTAACGCACACAGGAAAGAGTAAATGTGCAGGAGCCTATAGCTAACCTTTCTCCTCTTCCTCTCTTTAGGTAGCCAAGGTGGAGTACGTGAGAAGGAGACCCAAGCTGAAGGAGGTCTTTGTGCGGTTAGAGGACCACCTGGAGTGTGTTTGCACATCACAACATCATGTGGTAGAACACTTAGATGCAGAGACAGGTAAATTTGAGCTCATATTTCCTTTAAGCCTTCCCTACACGATGTTTTAGCATCCATTTTCCACACAAATATTTTACTCAATTAGACACTAAAGTTTGCTGGCCAAAATCCTGCATTTGCGCCTTTAGTCTATGTGCACACCTGCCTAATGTCTGTCTGCTTTGCACTAAATGTACCTTTACCACCAAATGTTTCCAAGCAAGCTGCACACCTGCAAGGGGAAGCTTTAAGCACTTGCTGTGTAAGAATTTGTGTGCAAATCTGTGTGTCAAGGATGTGTGTTCAAGGCTGCTTGGCTTGACGGCAGGTAACGTGCCTTGATCTGAAGGGTTTCCATATCTATGTTCAGATAAGTGCTGTAATGTGCACTGATAAGGCACCTGAAGAATTTAAACTGAGTTATGGCTTTGCACTCTCTGCTTCTGTCCCAGGGCATTTGCGGTATCTTCGGTTACCATAAAGCCTGCCTCTTGCTTTAAACCCTCCTTCCTTTTCACCCTCCCCAACTTTTGTGTTTTCAGGCCATCGTAGGGTTAAAGGTAAAAAAAGGAAACCTAAAAATCTAAGGCACAGCAAGGACTTATTGGTCTCATAATAAAGTTGCTCTTATTGCCCAAAGTCCACTGGAAGGCTGTGACAGGACACAGGTAGGACTTAAGCACTGGAATCACCTTTCGGTGTTACTCTGGCCCAAACAAGGCAAAACATGGGGCAGGCTAATCACCGGCACACCAATCAAAGTTTGAAAAGAAGGAGGGCTGACAAGTTTTACACCCCAAATCCTAATTTTGCATGTTGAATTTGTGGCTTTATGAGCATGCTCACTTTGTGCTTTGCCTCACAGCACTGTGCTTGCAAAATGTTGTGTGCACCATACTTGTTTTGACAAACTTCTAAGTTCATTTGTCTTGCTTTTACAATGCTTTGTGAAAGCTTTCATACCCCTTAAAGGTTTCACTTGTCATTCTCACAACTACAAGCCTCATTGTGATGCATTGGTAATCTGCTTGATAGACCAAAAAAATACATTTAAAAAAAAACTGCCCCTGCACATTAATCTGAACCTAGAGTAAAACATGGTTGTGGCTCCATCATGCTCTGGGGATGCTTCTGAGAAAAATGGGCAGGAATTTTAAGAATGTAGATTTGCACTCTTATATAACCTTTTTAAACAGAAAATTTGAAAAACTGTACAGTAATATTGTTTTATTACTTAAACCAAACTTCTACGGATCAGATTCAGACTATACCTGACCTGCTTAATGGGTCTCAATGTCTACTTGATGCAGTTTATTCACTAGTGTTGTTTTTAACTATTGGGACTATCATAGAGACATTTATACTAAGAATCATTTAGAAGTGTGCTTTGTAACAAAATAAATTATAAAAACATTCCAAAGGGGTATAAAAGCTTTTTGGGATATGATATCATCACTTTTCCTTTGCCTCGCACTGGACTTTGGACAGACACAAATGAAACTGAACACGATTTTGCTTCAGCTGATTAAGGCCATTAATATCCTGGTGGAATATCTTAATTAAGATAACTATAGTTTTTTTGTGTGTGTTGTATTTGTAAGAAATGCATGGTTTTAAGTGCTAAAATTGGAATATTAAGATTCTATGTGTTATTTATGAGAAAATGCATGTGTGCTTTTATGATTAGTAATTTTACCTTTATTTCTCTGTTCTCCAGTAGATGTGAGGTGAGGCCTCCTTCGATTAAGGGACAGCAGACTTGGATGGACCTAAACCAGAAGACACCTTTTTTTTCTGCGTCCATCTCCTTACCCACCATGCAAACTTTGTTTAAGGAAAATATACTTTCTCGTTAAGTCATGAGAATGAAAAAGACTGAAAAGAGTAAATCACAGAATGCCAAAGGTGCTTTAAAAATCAGTGTTGATGAGGGCAACTGAACTGTGCTGCCAATTACAAAGAAAAGAGAAGATGCCATGAAGCTTGGACTCAGACGGGATGGAAGGACTTTGGGATGGAGACTTCAGAAGACAAGCAAAACGGCAAATAGACTGTTGGGTCAAAATGTTTTGGGTGTCCAGTGCTAAGACTCAAAAAAGTGACCCATTTTGTATAAAAAACTGTTGCATTCAAAGGAAGACAGCAAAAGGAAAATAGGAATAATAATGTAAAGAAAAAGCTGGGGAGGGTTTTACAGAGGCAACATTGTGACTGATGGACAATTTGTTCTTATTGAGTAAACAGCCTAAATTTTTAAATTGCCTTACCTGCCATGTACATATAATCTTAAAAAAACAGGATGCAGCGCTGATTTGCAATCTATTTATGCGTGTGGACATTTGCTTTTATCACTTTCAGTCTTTGTATGTTTTTAATAATTTCTGCAGACATGCGAGTGGTATGTTTGGTCCAGTCCTTTGCTCTCACCAGTATCACAATCTCAGTGTCATTTTGTTTTAAGCAGTTGTTTTTTTCATTGTCAACCATGTTTCTTATTATATTGCAGTATATCTGATTGATGTCAAGTTTTGCATATGGTTTGGATGTATGTGTGCAAAGAGGAGATGCGAGAGTCAGTAAAGGAAGATGTTTTATTTTTGTTATGAAATATATAATGCATACTTATATCCAAACAGAAATGATGTTTTCTTTCATACATTTGTGGTTAAAAGCTTCCGTTTAAACAGTTGGGAGGTAATGGGATCATTTTTATAGGCATATGACATGATACAGATGATACAGTGGGGTTAAAATAGGTTTACAGCATTGCTACTAAATGGTAATTTATGGTACCTAATGCTCCAGTCATTCCTTTACAGAACAAAACAAGCAAATATCACAATATGTCGATGACAATCGCATCTATCAGAATATTAGAGACATCATGGTTCAGATACCTCTAAAATGTATTAAAAATTAAGTAAGAGTTACAGGAACTCTGTATCCTCTATCCATTGGAAAACTATGGTTCTACATTCCGCAATTTTCTTTTGTGCACAGAATTGAAAGGAACAAATAGAGCATGCCTAATCCTGTGCTAGGCCAAATACCTTCCCAAAGCAATTGTAGTTTAAGTTTACTCCCATACCTATTACTGTATCCCGTAATTTTTCTGTGATATAAGCTCATATACAAGATCTTTTCTTGTACCTATTAGATTTTGCATTCTTTAAATGCAGAACTACTACTGATCCAGTCAAAAAGTGAAAGACTTATCTATATTCACCTGTAGTTATCTTCCTGGATTAAAATAAAGATAACTTTGGATTAAGAAACAATAAAAGACTGCAATAGCCTTAAGAATGAAGCAGATGTTACTTCCAAAAAGTATAATAACGATCTTAAATATCGTTGGAAACACAATGGTACAATAATGGTAATGTAATGGTAAAATAAAAGTTCAGAGCTAAATCTAGGTACATCTGCCAAAACTAGATAACCAAGAATCTCTCCTTAATATCTGAGTGAGCTTTACATATGTTAAGAGGATAATAGGCAAAAACTTGCAAAAAGTCTTACAAAAGTATTAGTATTGCAGTATTAGTTTCCAGGCTTTTGTCCTAAATGCAGCATGATATTTTATATCAGGAATATTTATTGTCATATTGGTCCATAATATTGTTTTCATCCAGACACTTGGCACAAAATGCACATAAACACAAAACAGACAACATAGGAAGTCTGTAAAAATCTTTGAGTGCTTTCGGCTGCCCCCATATTCAGCTGCTGCCCCAGAAAGTCACTACTACTTCCTTAAAGTCTTGGCAAAGTTGTTACGTCACATGTTCTTCCTGACAACCTGTATTCAAATGAGGCTCCCCCCGTACAGTCAAAGCCTTTAACCACTTCACCATAGAGCATCTGTATGTCCTTAAGCAAGAGATTAAATACAGACATAGAAATTATATTGAAAAGAGGACTTACAGCAGCTGAAACAATATTGCTTAAGATAAGGATGAAATAATGTAAATGGGGATGTAGCATTAAATAAATATAGTCCAGTCCAATAAAGTTGGGCTAGAGCAGCCAATGAACGGATATCGGTCTTGAAATTAGTGTTAAGTCTCTCCAGGATAGGGGATTGATTTTACACCTTTGGGAAAGAAACTGTTTTTAAAATTATTCGCTCTGAATGCAATGTTTGTGAAACGGTTTTTTACTGATGAAGGTGGAAGAAACAACTTGCAGCCTAGGATGATGCAATCTGTGGCAAAACATCTGACCTACATCCCAATAAGTCCTAAAAAGTTGACCTTCTTCTCAGAAGTAAAGAAAAGCATATTATACCAGAACATTGTTCATTAATATATAATAATTGAACTTTTATTAATCTTATACTGGAGAGATTTACCTCTGCATTTAACCCATCCCCTTGGGGAGCAGTGTGGGATTAAGGGTCTTGCTCAGGGACGCAGGGTGGCAGTCTTTGGGAGTGGGGCTTGAACTCAGGACCTCTGGAATTCGCAATGCCATGCCAGGCGCAATGCCATAACCACTAGGCCAACCCTCCCTCCAATATATGCAGACTAGATCTCTACACTAGGAGTTCATTTAAAGGTGTTTTATGTCATAATGAATAAGCAAATCGCCCTGCTTGCAGACAGATTGAAAATTAAGTTAATCCAAATGAGTGAGCTTTACTTGCTGTTAATTTGAAATTAATAGTTAACAGTGAGAGAAACCTCTCTATCTGACATTCTCGATTGTGGTAAGAGAAAAATCTATATATGCTTTTTAAGGACTATATTTTGGGCTGGTTCTAAAATTTTTCTGTGAACACTTTTGATGAAACATTTTCTGTGATGTTTAAAACTTTGGATTTTGCCATGCCATTGCTGTTATTGGGAAGTTAATAAGTAAAACTTTACAGAACAAACAGCTTTTCAGATTTGTTTTCACTGCAACATACCATATTCGGTGGTTGCAGTTTGTAGCTAACACTTTCATAAAGATGAAAGGTAAACTATGTGGCGCAGATAATTGTAGATTGTGTGTCTGTAACAAGAGGCTGTTTTTTCACACATATCTCCAACCCAACACTGATAAGGAAGATGCCTGTCCGGTCAGCCCAACAAGTGTACATGTTATGCCTCAAAGAGCAAAGTCCATCTTGAAAGAGTGAATGAGTGAGCAAAGCAAATCGACGACTTCATGAATGCCCTCCTTGTTTAGTCGGGCTTCACTCCCTGCGTTGACAGGAGAACAAATCACTCCGCCCTGTGGAGGGAACTTGCTCTTTGTGCACTCATGTACAATCTAGACAAGTGATGAGTTCACTGAGGTGTTCTGAAAACATTACAGTGCTGGCCTGACCTTGGATCCTGTCAGAACAAACAGCAACATCATCTATCAGGTGCTTTAATGGTGACATCAACAGCAGAAAACCACAGCGTTCTTTTAAAGTAGGAGTGTCACCATGGGATAAAAAAGTTTGGCTGAAAAATCATACAGTAGCCAGTAAATGACAATAGCATAAGCAGAGTGCTGCCAAGTTTTATAATGTAGATGTTTGAACACTGTTTAAATCAATATTATCACTAAATCAGGGACCGTGCTTAAATATGTGGTTAAATATCTTTGGTTGAAGGCCATCTAACAATGCCATTGTGGTAAATCCCATGTTTCCGTAAGACAAATATGCCAAAAATCATATTTTATAGGTGTATATTTCCAATAATATAAAACTGTTCAATTGATTATTAATGCCATAAGGTAGGCCAAATGGTTTATAGGCTTTTACATGATATTAAAAGATAACTTTTCAATGTATTTCCAGGTCTTTGGGTTTTTAGCAAGTTTTTTTGCAAACTCATCCAACATAGCTGTAAAGTTGTTGCTTAAATATAGTTTACCTGTGCAAACAGCAGAAATCCTAATTAAGATTACAGTCAAGGTTTCTTAAAATAGCTAAATTCCAAAATAAAATCTGTTAAATAGGAGATGTTTGAATATCTATTAGCCCACTATAACCTGTGAGGATTTAAATTTGTTTCTACAAACTGGTAATTACTGATAAAGGTGTAGGGGCGGCCTAGTGGTTAGGGCATAAGGCTTGGTATCCCTATGCCCTAACCAGTTGAGTTTGAAACCCACTCCCACAGACTGCACTCTTGGTCTCTGAGCAAGACCCTTAACCCCCGATTGCTCTCCGGGCGCTGCACAGTTGCGGCCCACTGCTCCCCAAAGGGGATGGGTTAAATACAGAGTAAATTTCTCCATTGTGAGATCAATAAAGTTCAATTTATGTATTTATTTGAATTTAAAGTCTTCACAAAGGCTCTCTACAAAAACTGAAATCCATTGCAGTAATGTTTCAGCTAGATCTGGATTCATACTAATCTTTAGGATTAGTAATTAGATTAGGATCATCTTTTTTTTGCATGTTTCCAAGCAATACAAGGGCTTGTCTATATAAAGCCTCAAACTCACTGTGGATCCAGACATTTGAATTGAGAAAGCTTCCTGAAGGGGAAGCGAAACGTCTTCAAACCTTGGAAGCCAAGTCCAGTGGATTGTTTTTAAACTTTTACGGAAAACTAATCTTTAGGCTTTAAAAAAAAATGTAACTACTAAATCACGACTTACTGTATGTTTGGAGGCCTTAGTCCTTGATGTAGCCGTCAAACATTTCAGTCCCTACTTGTTGACTTTTGCTGCATGCCTCCTCTATTTTCAACCCATGTTAGCTGACTTTCAAATAAAGATCAGCAATCCCTAACCATCTCTTGAGTGTGTGGCGTTAGCATGCAAAGCTAATGCCAATGCAGGTATTCTGAGAGCTGCAGGCAATGGTGGTAGTGTAAAGGAAATAAGAGCTTTCCAGCCTTGCACATGGAGATGGAGTGGGGCTTTACTCTTGTACCCGCCAACAGACGATAGGTTCAGGGAGCTTTATTGCTTTTCCCAAGGAGCTCACCCTAATCCCAGGGTGGAGGGACATGAAAGTTCTTCTCCTTTCCACTTCCCAGCTATACACCCATCTTATTACCTCAATAGGAAGCCAGATAAAGAAAAGCAACACATGAAAGAGAAGAAAGGATCAGAGAGACAGCAATTCGACAAGCCGGGGTAACGGGAGGGATAAAGTAGAAAAAAGTAAAGATAAAAGGAAGAGCAGAGGAGTTGATTGATTTCATTGTTTTTATCTGACATGCACAGCTTAATTTTAAAAGGCAAGTAGAGAGGCTGAAGTGGGGATTTAGGGTGCACGGCGTGCTCGCCACACAGAGAAAAGAAAGCAATATGTCATGGTGAGGAAAGAGGGAGGAGGAGGAGTGGAGATACCACGAGGAGTGAGAGTGCAATGGGATGGGGTGTGGGGTGGGTTGGTGGTTAAAGAAAAGAAGGAACAGCGTGGACTCAAGATGTGGATAATCGGCACTGCAGCAAAAGAGGCCAGACAGGTCAGCTCTTAAGTGGACGTGCTTCTATAAACAATACCAGAGGAGCACAAAGGTCAGGCAAGGTGTGAAGAGGGGACTGCTGAATGGGCTTTATGTTGCTGTATGCATGTAGGCCTGTGCATGTGAAAATCTGCAAATGTGCGTGATTGTGCATGCAGATGAACAATACAGAGAAGGTCTCCCAGTGTGAAACACGGTCGGCTGGAATTGAAGGCTCTTCTAAAGAGCAAACTGGGATTTTAATGCCTACAATACAGGGGGTCGAAGTTCAGGGTTCACAGATCATAGGAGGATGTGGCAAGTGGTGTTAAATGAATCGTCAAGCTTTGATCAGTTTCTTCATTTCTGTATTTTCAGCTCATATCCTGAATATATCTTGTTAAACACCTTAATCTAGATCTTAATTAGCAGCCTTGTCAGGATTAGCCATGGGTTTTGCCATCATAACTTCCAACCCCCCATCTGCCCCTTAATGTTCTCCCCAACTTCCCCCATGTTATGTTTCTCCTTTCTGCCCCAACCTGTGGCCTCCGGGTTTTGAGGAAAGGCAGAGGTTGCCTTTGATGAAGGCGGCAGCCAAGTTTGTCTGGGGCCACAGCCATGAATGAATGTCTTTGTTGTTCGCCGTCCTCCTACGTCTTCATATCCTACTCCCCCCCGCCATCCCTTTGCTTCACTCAGTATCCTCCATCTGCCCCCCACAAACTCACACCAACACCCTCATGCCCTTGCTGGGGCCCACTTTGTACAAATGACCCCGCTAATTATGTATTTAAGGTATTTGGCTCCTGTGAAACAGCTTCAGGGGTTAGTGGTGGAAGGTGGCGCGGCGGTTGGAGAGAGGAAGGTGTATAAGGCCCGTGGTGAGGTCCATGGTCTCATGGCTATCATTACTGCCCAGCATTGAATGTAAACACTGGATTAGGGCAGGAATGGTTTATTCAAGTGACAGATAGTTGAGGTTATGTGTTCTGAATGTGCTCTGGAGTTTTTACTCTCTGGTTTCACCTCCTGGCGACAATCCCCTCAGAAACACTCACATCTCTTATCTCATTCTAGTAAAGCACTATTGATTATAATAGAAAAATAAAATTTTACTATTAATCAAAGATTTGCTTTGATATACATTTTTTTTCTAATATTCTTGGCTCTATTCAAAATCTTCACCTTCTCATTAACAATTAAAAAACACTTTACCATTGCTCCAAACTCCACAAAATGTTATGGACTTGCTAATTATAAGGCGATCTGATACTTATGTTTCACATATTTATTTAGAGGTCTAAGAAGAACTCAATAAAACATTATAGATGCATGCACATTTGTTAGCCCACTGATAGAGATGATTAAATGTCATGTGCAAGGTCAAATACGAAGAGCATGATGCAGTGTTAAAAATGCTTTAAAAAACCTATTCATTAACTTAAATTAAAGGTATAAAGGATGATTTTTCATTTCCGGATGGATCATCAAAATTAGTGGTCCTTCTAATTGTCAATCATTCTGGTGATATATTTACGTAAAGCTGTCCTACGTGTTCGTTCTGTTAGTCATCTTTTTCTGGCAGGTTTCAGACAGTCATTAAAGCTCACCTTTCTCACTGCGGTTCTTTGAATATGGTCGATGGTCGTGAGAGAAAAAATGTCTACGAAATGTAGGAAAATAAAAGAAAGGTCACAGAAGAGGCAGATATAGCCTGGATGTTCGGACACAGTAAACGTGAATGAGCTATGAGAACAGCAAGTTTTAAAAAGCGGGTGCATGAGGAGAAATGGGCTCATGCATGCATGGAGAGGGCGGATCTTT